GAGGACTTCGCTGTTGCTGGTTATTGACCATGCGGGATAGTGAAGCAGGAATTGGTTGCGTGAACCATGGTTGAAGTGTGTCCTGAGTATCGTGTACGGGAATTCATGTGAACTCTTTTAGGCGTATGACTCAGAATCGAAGTTGTGCGGATTGGCACGAATTTCTAAACTTTTTTCGGAGGGGCACTCTTCCTACTACTCCAGGGAGGTGTTTGTGATTGGCTCAGCGGCCGACAGACTTAACTTAATTTTTCTAATTGTTTTGTTTCACACGCATCCAGGGTTTTGCGTGAACGTGACGTGGCTTGCTTGTAAAACTTAAGAGCTAACTTCCGAAGTGAGCCATTATCAGAGGTTCATAGCACGTGAGACGTCGACGGTCTGGTAATCTGTTCTGTCTCCTGCGCATCAATCGACAAGGATATGGTACGCTACTTCAAGGAATTACGGCAGGGTTTCGTCTTGTTTCATGAACCGACTTTTTTCATGTAGGCCCTGCAGATTCCCTCGCGAGTTCTGGAAGGTGCTCGTAGAGCGAGGTCAAATATGAATTCATTCTTTCGCAATTCTAATGGAGTTGTATGTTGTTATGCGGATGGTTCCTGCATGGAGCCCGAGAGGAACGCTGGTGTTGGAGTCTGGTTTGGACCTGACAACGTTGCGTGAGTAATATTCTCCATTTCGCTCTTCTGAGCGATGTCAGCAATTTGAGTTATGCTCTTGATGTTGCTTAAATTCTTGTTGTTGTACGGCAAGGCTTGAATCGAAGTCATTGTCTTCGGTCCTATGAACTTCAGCAACTTGAGATGGAGAGATATTGAAAGGGTGATATGCTCTCGCTACGCCAAATTCTTAACGCGTGCAGTACAGCAGAATTGTTTATCGGGATCTGCCCGTAACCGCGTAAAACTTCGATTATGTCAGATACTGTATATCACTTAAGAGGAAGGGTAACTTCGAAATTAACCGCCGATCGGCTCGATGCAATTGTTACCCCAGAAAATATGGAAACACAATTTAACATCGATGTTCATCCTTTTTGTTCGGCATCTCGGTTTTATGCTGGTCGGGTCAGTGGGAATTGTTGTCTGTAAGATGAGTTGGGAATGACTCCACTTCCGAACATGAAATAATTTCATGACATGATTCTGGAATTAACTTCTGTGATATTGTCGTGACAGGAACATCTCGGAGCCTCTGCCTGTTCCGGGGACGAATAACCGTGCAGAACTTCTGGCACTGCTCTATGCGATCTACGCTGCTAAAGAAGCTGGTGATGGAATAATTGAGACATGATACACGTGTTGGTTCTCCGGAATAAACTCGTCCATGTGTTTGCTATGTAGGATTGCAGCAGCTGGTCATCAGGTCAGACTCACAATACGCCATTAATTGCGTTACGGATTACTTGCCGAGGTGGAAGAGCAACAGCTGGAGGACTATGGGTGGTGATGATGTTCAAAACCAAACCGAAATAAGGGCTATTGATGGAGCGAGCGTTGGTATCTCCGTGAAATATGTTAGTATTGCATTTTCTATCTACATTTTCGGGCGAACTGACGGATGCGTGAGGAAAATTCTAATATCGAATTGTAGAATGATTCAAGACGGAAGAAGAAGCTCCCGTATTCTGTACTGTGACGGGATTTCTGTTGGCGAACCCTTGTGGTTTATGTCTTTATTGATCGATGACTGGTTCTTCAAAAGCTGTCCTAACCGAATTTCTACTCCTCCAGGAGTGGGTCGAGGGCCACGCCGGCCATCACGGGAATGGTGAAGCGGATGCTCTGGCGAAGAAAGCTGCGGAGCAATCGTTGCGAAATCATCAGGCCGGTTACTGAAGTATTTTGAAAATCCCTGTGTTCCAGTTCACACCTTAGTTAACTACAGAGCTGATGAACAGGGAGTGTCAGTGCTTCGCGGAAGCATGAGCGTGAGTTTTGTTGATGGAGAACTTTGACGACACGGACATTACTTTCCTGCATTCCGAAAAATTACATTGTGTGTCCTTGCTTCCTGTGAGCAATTTCTCTTGAATCAGGTCGTTTCAATCACGAGTTCTGCTTGTACCGTTTGTAATTAATTTCCCAGGGGTCGGCTTCTGCTCCAGCAGCTTGGCTTTCGTTACACGGTGTGACTTGCATTTTGTACTCGAAATGTGTGTCCCCTGAGTAAAAATTTCCTTGTTTCTCTGCTCAATGTGTGTCCATTTTATCGCATCGCTTTGTTCTTTGGAAGTTTTTCAATACGATTTGAGGAGGAATCGAAACTTCGCGTACAGGATGCCTCCTTTCTTCAAGGAGTTCTAATCACATTCTGTACGTTCCACCGATGCTCAACTAAGATGGACATGCTGTACATCACTCCTGGTGGGGTAATGTGGCATACGTGCTTCTGAAAGCATCCTTGATTGAGGGGTTACATTGCATGGAAATGCTTCGGAACAGTCCAAGTGAAGATTGTCATTTCCAAATAACTGCTGCATGCGATATCTGTTGGATCATCCTATTTCCTTAGAGACCATGTTTCAGTCAGTACGTTAACGGACTACGAATAAGGAACTTCGATGAGAAGTTCGTGGGTGGTATACTTCCCAGTAGCGGTGAATAATTATTTCCATCCTAGTCTACCCGACGATCGGGTTAAGAGTGGATGTACAAATAGAAGGGAGTCTCTGACTATTGTCTTCAGAGATGCGATGCGGTAAAGGAGGATGATGTGAAGTGAATTTAGGCAGCAAACAGAATGCATGAGATGGTTGGTGCCGATTGAGGAGGAAGGGAAGATGCACAATTCTGGTGCAGTGCCCTGCTGTAAATGTTTTTTTCAAGAGCTAATTTCTACTTCCTTGCGGATGACGAATGGCATGATCACGGAAATACCTAGGTCCTGTTTTCTCTCTCTTGGGTTGCGCAGCAGATGGCGCTCCTAGGAGAAGAAGTATTCGATTAAAACTTCTCAGCCAATGAGAGGCGAGGAAGAGGTGGTTTGATTTTCACGAGGAGGGATTGGTGGGATGGACCTCTGCTGGGGAAGAGAGTCGGATGGTTTTTTCCCGGATTTGTTTCTGTGCCCATGGTTATTTCTTTTTTTTCAATTCCGCAAGTGTCAACGCTTGCGCAGGTGTGTTGATTTACGTGGAGTTGTGATTATTCGGAATGTGGTGATAGAAGACTCTTATCATTTCGTTTGGGTACGTATAGATTCTTCCATTCGAATCACGTGGAACTTACCAGCGCTAATAGCACTCGCGTAGGCAAGTTCATTTTCTTCTGGTCAGTGATTCGACACAACGACTCCTGTACCTTTTAAAAACCAGGGATTGCCGTTAATCCGCCGATGATACTCAATAGTATATGATGCCCAGCCCTGTAGGTGAATAACTGGGAAGGTCTGATGCTTTATGAGATACAGATGCGGCAGCCTATTTTGAGGATGAAAACCTCGTACTGTAATCCTTGTCAGCTGAAATAGGGGATAAGAATCCCGTACTGTAATCCTTGTCAGCTGAAATAGGGGATAAGAATCCCGGTTCCAGAAGGTGTTACTTGAGCATCTCTTACCCTTGGAGGATGAAATTTCTTCTGGAGGTGTTCTAAGTCTTGTTCCTGTTGCTGGTGATCAGATTTTTATTTTCTGAAGCCGGGGCTGTCTGGGACAATTGCTTTTGTTATTGCCGTTCACTCCTTGTTGAGATTTATGTGGACTAAGAGCCGCATTGTAAGCCGTCTGTCAGCTGTAAATGTGTTGACAGTTTTTGAGTAGATTTATCTCGTAAATAATTATTCCTGAGGAAGGGATGATTCAAGTGACACATGCGTCGCGTCTTGTTCGCCGGGTGCAAAGGTATTCAGTCATTGGAATCGTTCGCTGGCATATTCGTTCGCCAAATGCCGATTCTCGGGCGAAATGTTTTCTGTTCGTTGCTGAAGATGAGCAGGGTATTTCTGCCCGGATCAGATCTCAGATGATCGACTTCATTTGAACTTTTCCCAGTTTCGATAACACCACCGTGTCTTCATTTCAAGTATTTTTCTGAGGTGTTCAAGAAAGAAATATGGCAATCGAGGTCGAAATGATTACGCCGCAACAAATTTTCCGAGTCGAAACTCTCGATATGAATTTACAAGTTCAGGTTAGAAGTTCTAATCGGTCCTTGAAAACTGAAACGCAGCTCCCATTGAAGATTGAGATTTTTCTGTTTCCTCAAGTTTGGAGAAACGTTTTAAAATCGATTCCTGACTTCTAGGCTTGCCGACTAATTCCGCCGGTACATCACCGGAAGTTGGTTGGGATGGGGAGGAAACGCGAGGTTCTCTGTGTAGGAAGTAGACAACATGCAGTTTTACAGCTTAATTGACGGGCAATCCAGTGTCGTGACGCTGAACGGAAAACAGCTGCATGAATAGGCCACAATAGTTTCCGATGACGAACGCTGCCTGAATGACAGCCGTTGACGGGCCCCCGTTAAAGGAATAGATTTGTGTGGAAAAATGAGAATACATTACAATGTAAGGGTCATGATATCTTTGTTTCGGGTAAGTTCATAGGAACTTATATCATGAGGAAGTTACCGCATGCTGCACTGTGCTGAGAAATTCGTGAGTGATCAAGTAAGTTCGAACCGTTGTAATTATGTAAATGTCGCGTAATACAGTACTTCAGTGCTTAATCAGGAGAGGGAGTGGACAGTGGGTGACCGCACGAGTCCACGTATTCCTTGTTTGCAATAAGATGAAAATCTCTTAGTTCAAAACTGCAGACTTCGGAGAATCCTTCGAAATATCCCGAAGAAGTGATGAATGGGTATTGGGCTAAATATTTTTCAATGTAAAGGTTCAGAAAAAAGCAGATGGCGGAGGAGCTTTTGTTCTCAAGTCGTTCAGGGCATGTTTTTCCTTTGTGTCCGTGAGATTAAGACCGTTTTGTGGTTACCGGTTACCTTGTCATGCATGGGCAGATTAAACGGATTCATCGACAGTGATGAATCACAACGCATTGACGATTTGTATGGATATTAGTTACCCAGATTTACGAGAGGACTGACATCCCACGGAGTTGACATTCATCAATTGTTCTGAGTTGGCAAATGTAAAAAGTGCCTTCCAGTTTTTTGTTTCGAAATGACTGGATGATAGGTTTATATTTCGCGGCGGGAATAGGCACAATTGGAGGGGGGTTTTTTTCAGGAACATGTGTTCTGGTGCAGCTGGTGGAAAATCTGCAACGTCTCATCTTTCAACCCTGAAAATTTCTGCAGAAAGTGTGTGGTGAAACAATGTTTTCGGGACTTTCGGGGAATCATAAAATTAAAGAAAGAAGCACAAGAACGTGAAACAGGAAACATAATTCTGTAAATTGGGTTTCTGATATTTGCTGTCGGCTCCCTGTTATTTTGGGTGGTTTCCAGATTTTTGGGGTGATTTTTGATGGTCAATCCTGCTCGGTTTTTCGCGGTGCACCGCTGGATACTTCTGTATGCTGACCGGAGTCACTCCACCAATTTTTTTTTGGTTCAAAGCGATGCTGATTTTCAGTCCTTCGTGCTAAATTACCAGCGGAATTCTGCTGTTCACATTTTTATTCAATTTTTCGCAACTGATAATGTTCCTTCTGGATTCTGTTACTGTACTGAGTTAAACTTCGTTTCCCACCTTCCTCCATGATGAAATCCCTCAGGAAAAAAATGAGATGCTTATGCAGTACTGCATTGTAAGAGGTCGTAGTTGATGCCTCATTTTTCTAAGCTTTAGTACGAGTATTTCACGGTTAATTGAAAATGTGTTCGAAGGATCTCTCTCTTCAGCATCATCAAGAAATTGTGTGCCATATTTTTATCGAGACCCGAACTGTTTAACGGAGTCTCCGGCTTTATCATTACGCTGCCAAAATTGTGATTACAAATAATAATACTTGATGTGAATGATGAGTAAGTACTCTTCATCACAATGGACTTCCAGATTTGAAATGCTGACGAGTTCAATGCAAGTGTTGCGACGGGAATTCACGCGGTAGTGAAAACACGCAGCGTTCGATTTTCTCCATTGCTCCCTAACCCCCCACTTCACGATCTGTATACGCATAATCAAATGTCAAATAATAATAGCCCTTCACATGAAATTCAACGCAAACATCACGGAAACACTCCTGTCAGTGTCTTCCACTAATTCATTGGCTCGTCTTGTATGTACAGTACTGCACTCACAATTTTTGCTTCGAGTAATTTTTTCGAATGGATTGCAGCCAATTTTCTAATTAGGTATTCAATTGTTATAAGCATTCAGCCATTCGAATAGGCCTCACATTGTTCTTCGTATTCCTCCTGGTGGTACCCGGAAAATATATTTTCGGATTGAAATTAATCCCGTATTTCATGGAATGCTGGGGGAAAGTTACTCGTTATCTCACCATGCAAATTTTTCAAAATCCAGTCGAGACAGAGCAACACCGTGGCAAATTGCTAGAGGGAGATGAACCTTGTCGATTGGTTTAAAAATGTCGCTGAGGCCGTTTGAAACCAACAAATGGCATCAAGGTGTGGGAAAGGCCATGGATATTTTGAAGGACATTCCAGCACGAGTCTGTAATATAAAAGGTGATGCTGGGTTCGCCAGAATCATTCCATTCATTGAATCCATATCGTACTTCGGTGTCCACACCTCGACTTCTCAATTGAACACAGTATTGCGCATTGAGTACACAGAAGATAACTGTGATCCGAGTGATTTTCCCTCCGGAGATATTTTCCTACGTTCGGTGGGTGCCTCGTAATAAAGTATGCGTGATTGATAGCGTTTAATTTTCATAAATTAAGTGTGATATGCAAAGAAGAACGGCACGCGTTCTCTCTCGGAACCTTGCGAATGTAGGGACGCGTAAATTATGATCCAGTATTTAGAAAAGTTGAAAAATTTTGCCCAAAGATTGGCTCTGTGCAGTTTTTTTGCAAGTCGCGCTAAATCCCGCGGGACCCCGAAGACCCTCGTGAAAAAATGATGCTGTGAATCTGGAATTTGAGATAAGATGTGAATTTTTCTTCTTGACAAGAATGAGTTGAAGATGAATTGCGATAATATAAGTTTATTAAATACTGTAGTAATACATTTTAAGTTCGCTGTAAATAGCACTTTTTTGCTGTAACTATCGGAAATTATTAGATTACTTATCCGATCATATTTATTATATCGTGTGCATATCAGAGACGAATCTTATATTCATGTGATGGGCCTTGATGAGCGAGTAATCTGCGTTTTAAAATTCAAGTGCCTCAAAAACCACAAATCTTGATAATTTTCTCCGAATTGAATTTGACTTATGCCCCTCCTTCGTGCTCCGTAATTTTTCTGATCGCTGCACAAATTCTCCCTGTTGGGCCGAAAAAGAGGAACGCGCGTTTCACCGAAATTTACTTTTACGCGTAGTCTGCAGATATCCGCGCACAGTCTGCAGGTGTCCCCGGTGTAGGATAATGAAAAGACAAGAAAACGGGATCTTGGGGATAACCGGATTTTAAGAGCCATTTTTCGGCGATTGCGATTAAGGAGAAGTTAATTCGATCCCAAACCTGTTCGAAAAAGCTTATTCCCGCTTGTCCGGCAGGAAGTGGCGAGCTGTAACCGGACATATTCGAATTATTTCGTCGGCCAATCAGAAAAAACGATATGAAAATTCTGCGGAAGTTTCCGTGAACTGCGTTGTTCATTCGAGCACTGGGTCCGACGTTCTACGCACACGCATCGTGATCTAAACGTGAAATTTACTATCTGGTGTTCACCAGTGGAAGTTTTTTATTTTTAACTTATTGCGGTTGGAATTAAACTTGCCGACTAGCAAATTTGCTGTTGGAAATCTGTGTTTGTTAAGGAGGGGAACGTGTAAAATTTCAATCTCGGCGAGATAAAACTGATTATTTCGGTGAGTGTTCTGTGGTCTGTTCATCCTGCAACAGTGGTAAGATTAAGGATTTGCTAATCGTTGATGTGAGGCATTACTTTTTCATGGGAGTGTGCGAGGATTATGTGAGGTTTTGCTGACTGGCTGTATTTTCCACCCCGCAATATGGTGGAAGTAATAAGCCTACTGGAAATATCAATTTCACTTCCATTATTCCTACTGCGAACGAAAGTGAAGTTCATCTCAGCAGAATTCAGTCGGAAACGCGATAATGGTTCATTCCAATCCGCGCAAGTCTTCTGAGAACATTTTTCAGGGATTCCGGATCTTTTTAGGGAAGGAAAATAGTGACATTCGCTGAGAAAGAGTTGTTTGGTAATACGCGAAATGCTGAATCTCTTACAGCCAGGCTGAATGCTGAAGGAGACATCAACTGCATACGTCTTCGAAATTTAACTGCCTAATGAAAATACCGCAGTTTTTCATGAACTCATCGAAACTGTGATATTCAAAGGACTCATACTTCGGTCATTTTCAGTTTCGGTAATTCGACTTGGGGCTAGTTCTATCTATAATGCTAGTGAAGTGCTCAGCAACTGGACCGCCTCGTCTTTGACCCCTACGAATTTTTTTCTATGCGCACACAGGTTTTGACGTGAACCGTGAATTACTGGAAAAGTAAGGAGTGTTTCTACGAATAAGGATTCTTTTTGCGAAGGATTAGAAAAGTGCAACGTCGGCGGACTGGAAATTTGTTCATCGAACCTCCTGCTTCAAAGAGATAAGGAAAACATGGTAAATTACTGTATTATTATTATGTTTGCAAGTGTCGTTTCTTGCTCGAAATTCAAATTATTTTTCGAATAGGTGACGATTCCTCAAAGAGTCCTGGATGGTGCTCGTAATGCGAGGCAATGCAGGAATGGATATCTCTACACGCGTGATAATTACGCGTATTGTTTCGCGGATGGATCCTGCATGGAACCAGTGAGGAACGCTGGTGTCGGGGTCTGGTTTGGACATGATCATGCTGCGTAAGTACACTATTTTTTGGTGTGGCGTTGTTTTTCAGTCCCTGAGGGCGCAGAAAAATATGATTGAATTTCATGGACTAGTTCAGGCAAAATTGCGGGCGTCGAGATTTTTTAAGAAACATCGAACCGTTTTAGAGAGTGCTATGCTATGTGATACTTCTGTTGTGGCAGAAACGTTTCAGAACCCTTGCCAGTTCCTGGGACGAACAATCGTGCCGAACTGTTGGCTATTCTCTACGCGATCCACGCGGCGAGAGAGTGTGGTGAGGAAATATTTTAGACATCCCCATTTTGTATATCACGATTACTTCGCACTTACGTTTGAAATATAGGTTTGCAGAGGCTTGAGATCAGAAGCGACTCCCAGTACGCCATCAATTGCGTCACAGCATGGTTGCCGACTTGGAAACAAAGTCGCTGGAGGACCGGCTCAGGTTCTGCAGTCGAGAATCAAGACGAAATTCGAGCGATCGATGAAGCACACTCTCTGTTGCACGTGCGCTATGTAAGTACAGTATTGAGTTCATTTCTTGAAATTTTCGCGTGAGAGGAAAATCATCCTGGAGGAATGTAAATATGCGGTAACAAACATAAATCAGTTTCTGTATATAGTATAATAGGAAGATATTTTTTCGGTTTACCTTTTGGACTTCTTTTTGATCGAAGACTAATTTTCCCAAAATAAATGTATTTATTAATTTCATTCTGATCGTTTAATTTCCCAGGTGTGGGTCGAAGGTCATTCCGGCGACATCGGAAATGAAGCTGCGGATAAGTTGGCGAGAGCCGGTGCGGCTCAATCGTTGGCAAACTATCGGTATTATCATCCCCGTTACTGAAGTGCTGTACAGTTCTGTATTCCGAAAATTTGTACTTTCGGGTTGGTGTCTTAGTTCCGGACAGTATGAGTTGTTGATTCGGGAGCGTCAGTACCCTCGGAGCACACGCGTGAGTCTCCTGGAAACTTCGTTAACGCGTATATGAAGCGCTATTATTTTTTTCTCTGCGTGGAAAGTTGCGAGTCTACGGCTACCATATTATCGTTGTATATCTGAAAAGTACGTTTCTCCAAGTATACCCGATTGTAATTATCTCTTTATTCAATTTTCCTTGTAAACTACTGTACAGTACTGTCGTATCTGCTGTTCGCGATCGTGAGGCGGGTGATTCGAAATTTTCATCGAGTTTACCGCTGTTATTCGGGACTTTTTTGTGCGTTACTGTAGATGGTTTGCTGTTCCACCGCCGCTGTTTTCCTTGAATTGAAATCATTCTTGAAGTGAAATAATTCCCGATTGAATTGTGTTTTCGTTTTTGATTATTCTACTGAAACATTTCTTTCTTCTCCTATTTTTCACAGGTTTTATGGAATGAATGGTGATCAGCAGCTTTATGTGGCGTTGAAATTGCGCGAAGCTTGTTAGTGCTGTTATACTTATTGATTTCCTGAAATACTGAAAATTCAGGTTTCGTTCGGATTTGATTGCGAGCACAGTGACAAAAATAGCGTGAATCTTTGAAATAAGGTAGGGAACGTCGAAGTGAATTAATTTGGATCACGTTTCGTCATCATAGCGTGTTTCGTAAGTTTCACAAGCAGAGCTCCTTATTACTGAAATGGACGCTGATATTCTGAAATACAGTACCAAACTTATGCGTCGTTGTTTTTTCAGTCCATCTGTGCTGAGGTGGAAGTGCAGTATTTATTCTGCTACATTAGATATTACTGAATCACTCTGGTATATTCGAGCTTTTTCAAGAAATTTGAATTTGAAAAATCAATTCCTTACGTCGTTGTATATTTTTTTTGCTAGATAAATTTCACCTTTTGAATTCATGGTACCTTTTGAGTTATTTGGTAAACTTAAATGTTGAATATGAAATAATCGCGAATGATATTAATTTTGGCCATGAGCATGCTACCGCAGTGATTATACGGAAATATTATGTGGGAATTACACGATTTAATTACGGTAGTTCGAAAATGAAGGCTTTTTTTTGTGGAATTGAGATATCATTTTCCGTTCACACGGACACCTCTTTTCCTAAATGAGTTATTTTCTGGAAATTTTGAATATCGTCCCAGATTTTATTGTTTTTATTTTGCTGTTCCGATGGGCGAATTGGGAGAAAATTTGCTGCTATATGGTGTATCTCCTATTCTCAGAATGTTATCCATCAGCTTTATTCAAGAAAAAATCGGATGATGTTTATCGGTTTTATTGAAAAGAAAAAACAAGGAATTTTAGCATTTGAAGTAAGCGCTTTGCACATATGGTAAAAATGCACGACATTTTTTACTGCTGTGTGTGGGCATTATTTTATGAGTTCTTCTTCGTCCACCGGATTTGATATTTCTGGTATGAAATTATCCCCTAGGTTGATTTGCGGAAGCTTGTATCATTTTCGGCACTTCTATCGGTGACAATGCCGTATTACGCTGTTTTGCGTGGTGTTAATCCTGGGATTTATTCGTCTTGGTGCGTATCACATATGGAATGTTCAATACATTTTACACTTATAATAGTTATTTCTCCATGATACGTGTTCATGTAGGCGAGAATGTAGGCCTCAAGTGGTGAGGTTCAGTAGGAATGAGTACAGGAAGTTCGACACTCGACAGGATGCGGAAAACTACCTGAATGATCAAGTTGGTACATTCCACGCATGTTTTCAAGAATTAAATGTTCCATCTGCATTCAGTACGATGTGACGTAAGAAAAATCGACAAAAATTATACCTGCTTGAAGTTCTTCGATCGTTTCCACAGTCCAGTCCTGAATTTTCTGATGCGCCAAATCGATGGCAGAATGATCCCGGAAATTGAGCGAATTAATGGAAAATTGAGTCCGTTCCTTTTTTTCGAGTGGATAGGAGGAATCTTGTGTACAGATACATTTTAAAGAGGGCAAATAACCGGTATTACGGTATGATGTTCATCACTGTTGGTCATGTTACAGACTTCTATACTGTAGCTTGTGTTTTGGCTGATTTCGGCAGGGGTCTCAAGTTGTTGTCGACAATCGTATCCTAACGGACCTTTTGCAAATAGTAAAGGATCTTGTGCGCATGGTGCATGCTCGGGAATCATCGCATGGAGCTGCGAGAGGTGTGCCACTACGTCCCTTTCCGCCAACTGTAAGTTATCCACTCTTGATATCTGTCATTTATTGATCGTGTCCCGAAAGAAGCTCAAAGAAATCACACTGCGAGGTGAAGAACGTCTGTCGCAAATGTTAATGGACTGTGTAATGCAGTTCGATAACTTGACTAGAGTGATTAGGATAAATAATAAGTCACATGACTAGAGTGACTGGGATAATTGATAAGTCACATGACTAGAATGAGTTTCAATTTCATGTGTTCTGCTCTAGGCTTTTATTATTTTCCTCTTTGAGTGGCTCTGAGAAAATTGCTGGCGTGTCGAGAATGCAGTACTCGGGAACACTTCGTCAGCCACGATTTCGGGTTTATATTCTTCATGAGAACGAAATTTTCATCTCGGAAGAAGGCTCTTTGCGCGTTGAACAATTTTCTCAATTTCAGAAATCGAAAGTATGTTTTAGCTGAGTCCTGCGAGGAAAAGAGAATTCGTGGTTCAGTCATTCAGTGTATAACGCATTCTCTACTCGACTATATACTCACTGAAATTCTCGTGTCTGATTGGCAGATACAGTAGTTAAAAGCCAAATTTTCGTACGATTGTGGGTAGGTGTCGTAACTTGAGTAAACGAATGTCGTTTCTTAGACGGCCGAGAACTAAGTAGCGGAAGCGAACGTCGAATCATCGGATCCTGCTGCTTCCGCGAAATTGAAGACAGATCACGTATTTTTGTGTCTTGGGATCTGGTGAAATTATGCAAGAGCCGGAGATTCCTTCGAAAATTTTGGAATAGCGTTCAGGAGGGGGATCACGAAATTATTTAACGTGACGTCTTCTCTATGTGGCGGGGGTTTTTATTTTGCACTCCGTCTTGTTTTCATTGTGTTCCCGACGTCTTCATCTGATAAATCCTCCCTCACTCTCTCTGTGCATATATAAGCATGCGCTATTTTGGCAAGCGATTGATTCTAAAATTCAGGCTACGAATTTGACTCCTTGTCTCTTTCGAATAGGAGTTTTCCGGGAACGCGGACAAACGTAGAGCCGAGACGGACATCATGTCAGTAGAACCTTCTTCCAAGATATCTAAGCCAGATTTTGTGGCCAGAGAATGTCGTTGCTTTCGGAGAACGTGCAACATATGAAAAGCCTACAATTTCTCCTTCTATTATTCCATGATTAATCTTCTATTATTTATGCACTAAAAAGGCCACTATACACTGTGCTGAAGCATTACGTTACAGTAAAGCGAATAATTGTCATTGTACAATTGAACAACATCTCTTAACTTGGGAATCTTGAAGCATTGTGGCTATCCACGAATAAGCTATGTGCTGAAAGAGATGAAACAACTGTAGAACAGATCACGAAGACCATTTCCCCGAAAAATCAAGCGGTATATTGTAATACGTTTAGGGTAGGCAAGTCATGCAGCGTTTGTGAAAGTAATTTTTCTTGCAGTGCGAGATAAAGGCTATAAAAATAGGGATATTTTGTGAAATCCGAATGAATAATACGCACGATATCAAGAAAGCCGATTAGTGGAAAATTAATTCAGTTCTATAAATTATTCTCGGGAAGGGTGAGCAAGTGTATAATGATCATTCTTCAGCATAGGAGTTGTATCACTGAGTTTCCAGTCTCAGAGATGACGCATTCACTAACAGTAGATGCCGAGTGTAAATTGAACGCTGTACAGTTTTTTAATGCTCTCATTCTGACGCTTTTTATGGACTGCTGGCTTTCCTTTTGACTAAGAAATGACCGAGATTCTGATTTTTGCATCCCCTTTATGGCTTTTCCCAAAGACTAATGAATCATGCTATAACAAGCTTGCTCGTTAACTAGCTCGCTCATTGTGCTGTAGGCGGCCAAAAAGTTGTTGAACTGACACTTTACCGCGCGATAGTTCCAACTGCTTTTCTTGCAAGTATTCGCAAGAATTTCCGTCATCAACTGTTGTGGTCAAATTTGTTTGCATGAGAGTCTTGTTTAAATTTTTCATGTGGGCAAAAACTGCGAAAGATTTTCTTTAATTGGATGAGTTCAATAGATGGACCATTGGTATTATGAAAAATAATCTGAAGGAGGGAAATGCTCGACAGATCGTACACCTCGTTCGTCAAATTATTGTTTATACCACTCCTGAATTTTCTGTTGCGCTAAATCGATGGCAGAAGGATCCCGGAAATAGAGTGAATTTATGAAAAATGGAGTCCGATCCTTTTTTCTAGTGGATAGAAGGAATCTTGTGTACAGATAACTTTAAAGACGGCATATTATTACGGTATAATGTTCATCGCTGTTGGTCATGTTACAGACTTATATACTGTAGCTTGTGTTTTGGCTGATTTCTGCAGGGGCCTCAAGTTGTTGTCGACAATCGTATGCTTACGGAGGTTCATCAGATAGTGAAGGATCTTGTGCGCATGGTGCATGCTCGGGAATCATCGCATGAAGCTGTGAGAGGTGTGCCACAATGTCCCTGTCGGCCAACTGTAAGTTATCCACTCCTGAGATATGTCATTTAGTGAGCGTGTCCCGAAAGAAGCTCAATGAAATTACACTGCGAGGTGAAGGCCGTCTGTCGCAAATGTTTATGACTATGTGATGCAGCTTGACTACTTCGTCTACTTGACTAGAGTGACTAGGATATTCAATAAGTCGCATGACTAGAAAGAGTTTCAATTTCATATTTTCTGCGCGAGGCGTTCATTATTTTCCTCGTGGAGTGGTACTGAGAAAATTGCTGGCTTTTCGAGAATGCAATACTCGGGAACACTTCGTCAGCCACGATTTCGGGTAAATATGCTTCTTCATGAGAACGAAATTTTCATCTCGGAAGAAGGCGTTGAACAGTTTTCTCAATTTCAGAAATAGAAAGTATGATTCAGCTGAGTCCTGCGAGGAAATATGAATTCGTGGTCCAGTCATTCAGTGTACAGTATCATACATTCTCTACTCGAACGTATACTCACTGAAATTCTCCGTGTCTGATTGGCAGATGCAGTAGTCAAAAGACAAATTTTCGTATAATTGTGGGTAGGTGTCTTAACTTGAGTAATCGAATGTCATTTCTTGAGAAGGACGAGAACTATGTAGCGGAAGCGAACGTCGGATCATTGGATCCTGCTGCTTCCGCGAAATTAAAGACAGATCACGTCAAAAAGAAAAAAAAGAAAGCCAGTGTCTTCTTGTGCCTTCGGATTTGGTGAAATTATGCAATAGCCGGAGATTCCTCGCAAAATTTTGGAACAGCGTTCACAAGGGGGATCTCGAAATTATTTAACGTGACATCCTCTCTGTGTGGCGGGGGTTTTTATTTTGCACTCCGTCTTCTTTTCATTGTGTTCCCGGCGTCTTCATCTGACAAACTCTCTCTCTCCCTCTCTGTACATCTCGTATGAGCATGCGCTATTTTATTGGCAAGCGATCAGCTGTTTGAGTACGGTTTTCAACGCGATTGATTCAAAGATGTTGGCTACGAATTTGACTCCTTGTCTCTTCCGAATAGTGTTCCGGGAGCGCGGAGAAACGTAGAGCCGAGACGGACATCATATCAGTAGATCCTCCTGCCAAGATATTTAGGCTAGATTTGGTGTTCAGAGAGGCAGAGTCTGTTGTTGCTTCCGCAGTACGTGCAACGTATGAAAAGCCGCAAATTCCTCCAAAAATTTTGGATCAAGCACGAAAAGCGAAAGTCTCAGATTTCACTTTCACTCTTGATGGATTTGCCATCTGTTATACCGACGGATCCTGCATCACTCATTTGCAAATTTCCGGAGTTGGAGTTTGGTTTGGAAAGGACCACGTTGCGTAAGAATTTTTTTTCGCTCATTTCCTCATTTACGATGGCCTGAAAATTCAAAAAATTGAATGCAACTCTGTACTCGGCTCGTTTGTTTATTTGTTCAGTTTCGAATTACCTTTGTATATTCTATGGTAGCTTGATGACCATTTTTGTATTTCAAAGGAGGGCAATCCGAAATATTTTCTGAATACCGGCCGAATTTCGCTCAACCGGGTACGAGGTAGGTAGGCCTTACAAGGAATTCAAGCCATGAATATGGGAGGAAGCGTTCTTCACACAATCTTCTATTATTTATGCAAGAATAGGCAACTAAACACTGTGCTGCAGCATTACGTTGCAGTAAACCGAACAATTTTAATTGTACAATTATAAAAAATCTCCCAACTTGTGACTATCCACAATTCAGCTATGTGTTGATTCTGCTGAATGAGATGAAACAGTTATAGAATACAATCCTTTGAAGACCATTTCCCCGAAGAATCAAGTGGTATATTGTAATGCGTGTAGTTTGTGCATGTGATACAGCGTTTGTGTCAGTAATTTTCTTGCTGCGCGAGACAAGTGCTGTAAACTATAGGAAAATTTTGTGAAATCTAAATGAATGATGCGCACGAAATCAAAACAGCCGATCAGTAGAAAATTAATTCATTATTATGTATTATTCTGAGGAGGGGTGAGCTACTGTGATGATGGTTCTTCAGCATAGGAGTTGTATCACTGAGTTTCCAGTCTCAGAGATGACACATTCACTAACCCGAGTGTAAATTAAACGCAGTACAGTTTTCTAATGCTCTTATTCTGACGCTTTTGATGGACTGCTAGCTTGCCTTTCGACTAGGAAATGGCCGAGATTCTGGTTTTGCGTGCCCGTTTTTCTGGGTTTTCCCGAAGACTAACTGAGCTTGCTTTAACAAGCTTGCTCGTTAACTAGCTCGCTCATTGTACAGTAGGCGGCCAAAAAGTTGTTCAACTGACACTTTACCGCGCGATAGTTCCAGCTGCTTTTCTTGCGAGTATTCGCAAGAATTTCCGTCATCAACTGTTGTGGTGAAATTTGTTGGCATGAGAGTCTTGTTTAAATTTTTCATGAGGTCAAAAACTGCGAATGATATTCTCGGATTAGTTCAATAGAGATCATTGGTATTATGAAATCTAGTCTGAAGGAGGGATATGCTCGACAGATCGTACATATCGTTCGTCGAATTTTTGTTTATTCCTTCTTTCATTTTTTTTGCAGGAACATTTCAGAGCCCTTGCCCGTTCCGGGCACTAGTAACCGTGCAGAACTGACTGCCGTGCTCTATGCGATCCACGTTGCAAAGGAAGCCGGTATAATAAAAAAAAAATTACTCAATCCGCATCCTAGAGTACGGTATGATAAATTCACCCTTATGTTATACTGCAGGTCTGAGTAAGTTGGAGGTCCGAACCGATTCGATATACACCAAGAATTGTGTCACTGTTTGGCTGCCGAAATGGAAAGGGAACAATTGGCAGACAACCGCGAATAAGGATGTCCTGAATCAAAATGAAATCCGAGCTATCGACGAAGCCTTCAATTATGTGGAAGTGAAATTTGTGAGTTCTTCTTTCAAGTATAATTTCGCCATGAGAAAATTCACTTGTATACTTGAGGTAATGTTTTAATGGATCAAATTTGTGTCTCCTATTGAATGTTTCTCTTGTTTCATCAGTCACTCTGGATACCGTATTCAAAGCATACTATATCATTAGACTGAAAAATTCCTTCGCGCACAAGAAAAGTTATTTTATTAGTGTGCCTTGAGATTGGTTGCGTGATCATTATCTGCAATATTTGCGCATGAAGTTGTTACGGCATTCTTCAATTTAATGTAGTGTCCTTGAAGAATCATGCATCTATCCGTGGAAAATAAGAGAATACTGTATCTTACAAATATGAAAAGTTTAAAAAAATATAAAAAGTGATGATGATCATGTACACTATAGTTCTCCTTGTTCTCGGTGTTGCTTTCGTCTATGAATGCTTTTTATCTTCACTGCTGGCTTATTTTTCAATTATTAATGCGTAATTTCTTTTTACAATCTTTTAGAAGTGGATACAAGCTCATTCCGNTTTACAATCTTTTAGAAGTGGATACAAGCTCATTCCGGCGAAGAAGGAAACGAAGCTGCGGATCGATTGGCGAGGCTTGGTGTGGATAAATCCTTGAGAAATTCTGAGAGTTGAAACTGGCCCATTTATCGGATGTCTGAAGCATTTCGAAGATTGTATGATCTCTAACAATCTTCGGGATTTTCTCACCAGAAGCTAACAGAAGTGAAAAAATGAATGAACTTCAAGCTTAGTGCATTTGTGCGAATGAAAAGTTTCTTGTGTACAGTGCTTAACTCTTTGGAAGGTCGCAAAGTTGTTCTCTCAAATGCGCCGCGCTCACCAGTGCCAGTCCTGCTTAGGACTTGGCGCTCCTTTTTTTCGAATCGTGAATGGCGTAAGAACGGTATGATTGGAAATTGTAAGGAATATGAGGGTTGTCCAACTTCTAGCGTTGAGTATTTTTAAAGTAGGTACCATTGTAAAAAAATAAAAATTAGCTCATGCAATCGTAAGGATCTGAGATTTTTATAACATTTTTTGAGGGAAAACTTTCCAGTTCTGCTGAGAGTTCTCCGCTCACGTCACAAGCTGTTGAAACTTTTTCAGGCCAGACAAACTATTGAAACTTTATTTGTTTTCAGCAAAAACTCTCCCACATCTTCTGCAATTTCCAAATTTTTCAGTGATTATTTTGTTTGCAACAAATCAAAACTTGAGTGCATTCTGAATTTCTCAAAGAGCAAGGTTTTTTTTTTCCAATCTTTTCTATTTCCTTGTCAAAAACACCATCAAAGGCCTAGTTTTTGCCTGTGAAATTTTTCTCAGTACTTCGAAATTTTATGAAACTTTTTATTGCAATCTTCTGCCTTGAGGTTAGAAAGCAGGATGTGATGTAAGCCCAAGTCCGGTTAAATATTTTCCCGTGAATCAGCCAATTTTCTTCCTGGTTCCCCAGGTTCCTCTCCTGTCTTCTTTATTTTTATTACCAGCTGAAAAATAAAATGAACGAAATTTATTTTAAAATTTCTTGGTGAAAAGAAAAATGGCACAGGCAGAAACTAGGCCTTGGATGGAGAACCTTGCGATTGCATGGGCTGTACTTTTTACAATGGTACCTACTCGAGGAATACTCTACTGGAACAGGATAAAACCACTAATGGTGGCTTTCTGAGAAAATTCGAGTTTGTAAAACGCGAACTTCTCCAGAATTGCTTATTGGACGTTGTAAAAAAAGAAAGATGTTTTGTTTAAAAAAGGGAGGAATCCTTGCATTAGGAAATTCGTCCCGATTCTTCCGCATCATTTGGAACAATTTCGCGAAAGTAGCCGTGTATGTAAGCATGAATACAAAATGAAAGAAACCAGAAAACTCAACGAACATGATCCTTGTGCTGTTGGAGACGCTTCTTGTTGGTTTTCGAAATACAAACTTTGTCTGGTTATAGTATAAAGAAATTTGTGTTAACCTGAGGTTCTGTTATCCAGCTGTTCCATTTTCTGGTACAAATATTGTTTTCTAGGTCGTGCTTAGAACATTTTAAGTGGAAGTATTCTGCATTGGTCTCCATGCGGTATTACGCTTGTCAGAAGGTGTCCGCCCCGGGATTTACAACTCCTTGTATGTAATCTTGAGTCCACCATTCTAGAATATTGGTCTACTCAATTTTTTTTTCTTCATCTAGGGGAGAATGCTAGCAGCAAATGTCGATGCTTAGTTGAGTGCAGGAATTTCAGTATTCCGGAAGAGGCGGAAAATTACATGAATGTTCTGGCACGTGCCTTGGTGAGTTTTGTTCCCCGGTTCGGAAATTATATGCGCGATTCTCAACGTCATTGTTTTACACTTGTTCAGATTATGAAATCAGGAAGACAACTATACCAGCCTTGTGGCTCGAATAACTTCAAGTTTTGAAAAGTTAATC